CAGGGGCTGGCAAACCCAAATCAGCAAGTCAGATGACTGGCTGCTGTCTAAAGTCCAGGGGTAAGATGATGATGAACCATATGTAGGATCTGGAGCAAGAGAGTGAACTTTCCCAGAACATTCACATGTATACCCTCAAGGAAACAAAGGGTGGTGACTTGCATCACACCCTCTGGCAAGGCAGGACTCTGGATACATCCCACCCTAAACAGGCATTAACTCCCCCCCTCAAATAAAAAGCACCCCTCACTGTCATCGGTTCCGACTCATACCAACCCCCAATGGGTTTCCAAGGCTGTAAATCTTTACTGAAACACGACCACCTCATCTTTATTTCGCAGAGTGAAGTCAGACTAAAGTGAGTCCCTGCCCAGTGCACAATTAAGCCAATTCAGTTCACACATCCTGTGTACTTGAGAGATGAGAGAGAGAATTTCTTACCATGTGCATTGTAAGGAGACAGGGGCCAGTACCCAAATCTGACCCCCTGAGTTGAGGTTGGCGTGCAGTTTATGTAAAGTTCAGGAAAGGAGTCTATGCATATTCATACATATTTCAGAAATACAGGCATGAATTAACTGGAGATTGGCTGAGGGTTCGTTCACCTTGGTTTTTAAAGGGACAGTCACTTTTTAATGCAGTGTGCTTGCACACCAGATGAGTTAAACTGACTTTCTGTCAACAGCTAATTGGGGCTTAGGCAAAGGGGGAGATGTTAGTTCTGAGCAATTTCATTCCCGTTTGTCTCACTGCACATGTCCACGGGCCAAAACAGATGTCAGCAGGTTTTAACTGAATTCAAGTTGGTCTTGGCTGGGTTTCTGAAAGACGATGAAGGAAACAAGTTATCATGCCTGCTTATCTGTCCCCAATCAGGGTGGGGGATGATTCTAGAAAGGATGGGGAATTGAGTTACAATTCAACTCAGCTTCAGGAGCAGCTGGTGGGTTTGAATCACCAACTATTGGTTAGTAGCCAAATACCTTAACCACTATACCACCAGAGCTCCTTAAACAGGCAGAAAGGGTAGGATTTACAACACATAACAAAATGGAGGACTATGGCTAGAAGGGCCATATTAAGCAATTTACTGCACTGCACTGTTGTTGTTATTTGCCATTGAATCATACCTGACTCATAGTGACCCCTCCTTGGGTTTCTGAGGCAGCATCACTATGAAGTAGATTGCCCAACCTTCCTTCCAAGGAGTGGCTGATGGGTTTGAACTGCCAGCCTTCTGGTTAGCAGTCAAATGCCTTAGGCACTATGCCGTTAGAGCTACCAAAAGTAGATTAGTGGTTACCAAAAAAACAAAACAAAAAAACCCAAAAAAAACTGGCTGCCATCAAGTTGATTCCAACTCATAGCAATCCCCTTTGGGTTTCTGAGGTACTAAATCTTTATGAAAGTAAATTGCCCAGGCTTCCTTCCATGGAGTGGCTGGTAGGTTTGATCCACCAACTTTCTGGTTAGCAGTCAAATGCCTCAGGCACTACACCATCAGAGCTCCTTAGTGGTTACCAGGAGTGGGGAATTCATCACTTAGTGAGTACAGAGTTTGAGATGATGAAAACGTTTTGGAAATAGTGGTGATGGTTGCACAATATTGTGAATGTAACTAATGTCAGAATTGCACACTTAAAAATGCTCAAAAGGGCAAATTTTATGTGAGTATATTTTGCCACAGTGAAAAAAAGTTAAGGATGAAAAGTTACTGTGTGAATGTCAATATATTGATTGTAGCATTGTAGTATAATTTTGCAAAGTTGTTACTTTGGAAGGCTGAATTGGAAAGCTGAAGGGGCCTCTCACTGAAAACTGAAAATTTTCACAGGCTAGCAGGCGTGATTAAAGTGGATATTAATTACAGGGACTAATTTGTTATTTTTCCATCCCTTTTGCTTCCTTCGAAGTAAATAGAATAGCTAGTCCTTTTTTTTTTTTTTTAC